ATGGTTAGTTTTGCTGCCCAATATGATGCGTGGCATAGGGACTCACCGAAAGAGAGTGTACTCCAAAAAACGTAGGCGGCGTCAAACTCCAGCATCCATGGGCGCCAGACAGAATCCAAAGCATTACCGCTGAGCGGAAACAAGTATGAAGATGGGTATCTCGAAGGTTGTTCATTTCGGAGGCGGCGGGGGGGCGCCAGGCTTCTTAACGCCGGTCGTGTCGTAGGCGCCGCGGCCCATGTTGAAGGCAGAAAGATCTCGGAGAATCATGTTGAGTTCTGCGGAGGAGGTCATTGTTAGACAATGTTGGAGAACGGTAGAAGGCGAGGTGGGCGTTGAAATGGGAAGGGTGCCAAAGCTGCAAATGTGGCGTGCAGGATGTGGAATGGTGATGAGATGAAGAACTCACGGTAAATACCACGAACGGTTCTTATATAGATTTTTCGATTCGAACTCGGGGAATCGCCTGTCAAACGAACTCCCAATCCACCCCCCGAAGCGCAAAAATAAAAGAAAAGAAAATGATTCTAGACGAGGACGGGCGGCGCAGATGGACGCAGGTGCAGTCGAGATCGGAAAAGACGATCCTTTTTAAAGATGACCGCTGGAACAATGCGGGCGCCAGCAGATAGTAGGGCAGGAATGTGACAACACAGTACCCGACAAATGAGAATGGCAGGCGTTGTTGAAGGTTGGTGCCGACAGGTCGCTGGTTGCTTTTTATTTGCTTGCCACCAAGAGATCTCGAATCGGAATATCCCCCAATAAATCAAATTCAAAAAGATAAGCAGAAGGGTGGCTGCAGGATCACGGCCATGAAATCGCGATCTGAACCAAGAAAACGGCTTAGAAGGGATATGGAGCTTAGCCGGCAAGGGAGGCCCTGGAAAGGAGAAGTGCCGCGGAACTGTGGCCCGGTAGATCCGGTTCAAAACCAACGACGTATCGCAAGGGAGAAGGGAGAAGACAGGGCGGTAGGTAGGGAGGCGTTGGATGTAGGGCGGGTGTTGTCAAGTATGTCCCGAGAGAAGTCAAATTAATAACGAAGAGAGGCACAAGGGGGGGGGAAATGATTGCGTAGATATAGGATGAACTAACTGGCTTATGTCAATAACAGCCTAAGGATGATCTTCCTTCGTCCTTTTAGTTTTTGAGAAATAAATAAAATATAATAAAATAGTAACAGAATTAAATAAAATCAATAAATCATAAATTACCAGGGAAAAAAAAACCTTTTTTTTTAATTTTATTTCAAAAAAAAATAAAAAATTAAATTAAATTAAATACATTTTAGGGAATCATAAGCTTATGGAGGGTTCCATATTTCGTTGTTTAGCAGAGCGGCTCTCCCGTCCCTGTCCCGGGGAACAGGAACGCGACCGCAGCGCCCCCCTTTCTGCGTTCTCCAACGTCTAGCTAAAAGTAGTGTTGCAGTAGCGTCAGGTAGATCGGGGCTGAATTTTGCTATCAATCAAAAATCAAACTATGATCCGTCACAAGTCGATCTTGGATGCATCGGACCCCTTGAGATGAATCCAAAGGTACCGTGCAGCCCCGAAGAAATCAGAGTTGATTAAAAAGAACAAAAGGACATGACCTAGATGAGCTCTCCACTTGTGGAAGCTACTGTAGGAACCGAATCTCCGGGCATTGTGCATGGGTGGAGCAGGGGAAGTCAGAAAAACAGCCGCAGGAACAGGAAACGGATCCATCCGAACTAGACTTGACGATAGACATACGACTCGCGTGGTCGGGCTCCATCGGACAAGATGGATCACTTCCTAACTGAAAGAGTACTAGCTACCCAAGGAGAGTTGAAAACTAGTCCTTCCCAACCCTAATGCCAGGGGTAAATAAAACCGAGAAACAGGCTAAGAAAGAAAAAAACCCTACCCTGGTCGCGCTGACATATGATGCCTAGGTACGAGGTATCACGTTCATCCCCTAGCCAACTTAACAGATAGTAGTTCCCGTCAACGAGGTAATTAAGACCAAACATTCAGTCTCTCAAGCAGCCCTCCGTGCAATGAACAGTGATCTGCCCCGTCAAGCCACGATTCACTTCTCAACACTTTGACTTGAGTGGTCTCGGGAAGCGCGTCCTGCGTCCCCAATCGGGCACCTTTTTCCTCTTTCTGCCACAAGTCGAACAAAGCGAGAAACCAATCGTTGGCTATCAGAGTATCACGTCCCAACCCCTACCTTTGTCTCAAGACTTGAGACTCTCATTAGTCCCTTGGGGAAGCGCCGTGTTCCAACCGATCGATCACCAGTTGGGGGAGGAAGGAAAGGATCCATCATAGGGGGTGGACCCGGGGCGCGACACAGGCTCCATCATTACGGAGCACAGGTCGACCAAATCACGACCGCGTAAAGGAATCCACTTCCAGTTCTCGGTTACGTATGAACATTCTTTCAGTCTTCTAGCCTTTCTAGTCCCCTTCGTCTCTACCGCGGTCCTGGGTCCTTGGGTTTTGGGTATGTAACGATACGAATTCCTCATGGGAACATTCTGGACTCCTTCTTTCTCCGTCCAGGTACAGCAATTGCAGAAAACACAGTTCTTCCCTCGGCTCCACCCCCATATCCCCTATTAAGGGTACGCATTTTCGTCAGCTCTCAACATTCGCCACACTGGAGCCGCCAGGTACTATTCTCCGTCCCAGCCACTAAGTCGTGTGTGACGGGACGTGTCGCTTCGTCCTGACACACTTCTTAACGGGGAGGGTTCATTAGCCCGCTTTCAGCCAATCCTCCGAAAAGGAGGCGTTCTGAACGACGTAGAATAGATGTGATAGAGGGCTTCAATGGCCAAGTTGTCTCATCGCAATCGGGACTGGTGATCTACCGCGGAATGCACTCCGGGCCGTTAGCGAGATCGAGACACGGCTGGTGATGCCACAGGAGAAGCTAGGTCAAGAGGTTATGGTGTTCCCCGTATGGTGTCATCCACTCAGTCATCGAGTAGGACTGATTCCTATTCGTAGTGACGGACCCATGGACAGTCAGGATGGGAATTGATGATGATCCCTTTGTGGGTCGCACGCGGTTGAGAGGACCCATTATTTGGGTCCCTCTACATACGGTATTTTCGATGCGCTAGAACTGTCCCGATACGGTACGCCCTCGGGAACCTTTCAAGAAAAAAGGAGGGATGGTTTACTTTTAGAGTAACGAGCTTCCTTTTCCTTCCCCTGGTGGACCCGGCAACAGCTTCGATGGACCATGGAATTACTTCGGGAAGACCCCCGTTCTCCATTTTACAGCTAGAACGGCGCTAGAAACGGGGAAGAAAGAAGTGGGAAGGTCGTTGGTCTGTTGGTTCCAGTGCGGTCTCCGGCCTCCTGCTCCGTTTCCCCGTGGAATACCCTGTTCAGGAAGCCGGGAATGTTTCGGGGGAAGCAGGAGTTTCCTACTGTAAGGTCCAACGGCGATCCAGGGCGCTGGTACTTGGTGAACATCTTCATTCGCCACAACGGGTTCCTGAGAACCGTCTCCAGACTTCGGCTCGATGCATTAGTTCTCAAACAAGGTTTCGAATGCATGAACCGCTTTCCTAACCGAGTTGCCGAGCTTATGCTTCCAGCTTTTCAGCTTTCTACCTTTTTCAGGTACCGGCGAATTCCCTAAGGATCATAATCCGTAGAGCCAAACTTCGATCAATGTTGAATGCCCAGCGGATGGGCACAGCGTTCACCGTGCGCACGCTGCAGTGCGTAGGCTACAGAGTGGCGCTTGCAGGGACAGGGGCCCGACGAAGCGGAAAGGCGAAGCCGCATTGGCATCGAATCAATTTGAAGCGCGAAACCGCATGACAGGGGTGGATTGTTCTTTGTTCTTTTGACAGCCGATCGATATGTCAATCCCTCAAAATTGTGGCGACCGTTTTCCCCATTGTCTGATAGGATCTGCCAGGCCCATTTCCCGTCTTTGCAAGTCATCTGGACATGCCATCACAATCTGTGGCGGACTTAGGCTGCGCGGAAGCGAAGCCGGACGATCTTAGTGAATTCTCCTAGAAATTAGGCCTCCGTAAAGAGAAGAATTCTGGAACAAGTGGAAATATCCACAGAGGTCTGGAGCGTATTCCGCCTGTATTCCGTACTCCGCTGGAAACTGGACGGCGCGCACCCGGGACTCTGGAACCCATCAATGATCCACGATGCATCCGACAGTCTAAAGCTTTTTTCGTTCTTTCTTTGCTAAGCGTCCATCCCTAGGCCCTGGGCTATGGATTCTAGACTCCGGGTTCTAGGTTCTTGGCCAAAGTACTCGTATGACTGAGATCGTCGGAAAGCCGCACGGCGATACCCGTGAGGCAAAGTGCTCGTGATGGACCAGCCGGATAGCATCCTTCAAGTGGATATGATCCAGTTTTGGCAAGTGACAGCCTCAATTCACTGCGTACCTGAGGTGGAAGAGCCAAAAAAAGAAAAATAATACAGAGATGACGATCGCCGCTCCACGGCCCCAACGCCCATAGTGTCGGGCTCGATTTTCCTCCTTTTCCCCCCTGCTGGGTCGACCGCCCCTGAGTTAGTGAGTTAGTGAGATGCACATCGTGCAGCTAAGTGTGAGCCGAGGATGGACTCAATGACGCTCATTTGGATGCATGGGGGAGGAGCACTCTGGACAGATCGAACCATACAGAGTACAATGTGAATACACCACTGACCCACCACATTCACCTGGAACCCGACGGGATCTCGCTAGGAATTCCGCAGCCAGTGGAGAATTTGCGGCTAATGTTTCCAGCATCACTAGTGCCCGCAAAGTGGAGAGAGGTTGGGCAAAAGCACTTCGCCCCTGGACCCAGATCGGGATTCTTACATGGCGCACTCGACTTATGTTCGGAACACTGCACCATGACACACTAATTCCTAATTCCTCAATGCAAAAGCACGACACTCTGCAGTGTCGATCCCTGCGGCCTTGTCTATCACCCCCTTGTTGACCGGAGACATGGTGCGCCGCATCGATCTGCTGCATCATGCAATGCCCTATTGTCCTCCGTGCAGACCAAGATGCACATTGGCATATGTCGAGCGTTCGCGGTACACACTTAGATTTAGAGGCTCATCATCTTGCAGAACCGCCCCCTTGACCCATGGGTCCTCAATAATCTTGACGGAGCCCGAGCGATCGTCCTTCCCGATCGCGACCCGGCGATTCATAACCCCTTCCCGCATCTTGCATTGCCCTAGGGGATCATCCCAGCCTTGGGGGGATCGGGGAAGGGTATCAAGTTCCCCCCGAATGCAGGCTGTCGAATCCGGGTACCTGGTCAAGGTGATGCCTCACATCCATTCTTGATCTTGTTTCCCAGCCACCCAATGATAGAACCTACGGACTCCTCCCTCGACCGCCTTGATCTTCCCACTGGGCTGGAATCGGATTGCATTGGTATGCAGGGACCTGTCTTTTCCCCTTTGGAATGACAAAAGGTCCACTGACCTCGCTTCTGTAGATGAGCATCGGCGCGTTCCTGGCAACAAACTCAATCGAGAGATATCTTGACGGGTCCGAGCCCGAGGTTACAAGTCAACCACTCATCGTTGTCACGGGCCTGGGTCAATGCGAACTGTCACATCTGATTTAGAAGTTTTGCACGAAGCTACGTGATCCTATTGAACCTATTACTGCATCTATGTATGCTGTCCTGCCACTTGGCTCCCCCCACCGGGGAATCAAGACCGCTTGCGAATGCAGTGATATGCCATCTCGAACTGCGAGACGAGTATTAGTGAATGTGTGTGTGTGTGTGTGTGTGTGTGTGTGCGTGTGTCTGCAGCACCTGTGATTGACTCACCTGTTCATTAGTCTGGCAGATCAGCACCCGAGGCCCCTTGCCGGCGCCCTTGGAGATATCCTTCACGGTCTCGTCATCTTCCGGCCCCTTGTCGTTGGCTTCCGAGTCGATTGCTATGCCTAGACTCTTGCATTTCTCAGATAGCGTGCGGCGTAGCAATGCACTCTTCTCCCCGATGCCACCAGCGAAAACTAGTGCGTCGACCTCCCCGCCAAGCTTGACGTAGTAATTTCCAATGTACCCCAAAATGCGATCGACGAGGATATCGAAAGCAAGCTTGTGCGCCTCCGAAGGAGGGCTCTCAACTGCTATCTCCGCGAAATCAGTAGTACCCGTCAATGCCTTCCAACCCGATTTCTTATTAAGTATCTCTTCTGCCTAGAATATTGCATATAGAAATCAGTACTTAGAACCCCGCAAGGGGCTAGATGTAATCACCGTGCTGATATGCATCTCCTTCGTAGCAGTGGGGCTCAACTTCCCCGCGTCGCTGGTATAATGGAAGACCAACCTGGGGTTCACGAGCACAATTAGCTTCCCAAGCACGAGACTATCAAGAATTACAACTCACGAGGGATCGATATCGCCGCTACGGGTCGCGCCCGGTAGTCCTGCGAGGGGAGTAAGACCCATTCTGATTATATCCCGTTAGTGCCCGCTTTGATGCTACGAAGGGGGCGGAGCTCACGAGGTATCGATCGATTTCCCCTCTTTGATCACGCATATGGAGGCCCCGCTTCCGATATGCATCACGATCAAATTGGTTTTCTCCTGTGGCTTTTGTAAGAACTCTGCGACGGAGCGGAGAATAAAGGAGTAGCTGATTCCGTGGAATCCGTATTTGCGTAGTCCGTTTGCTTTGGCGATTGTTTGGTCGATGGGGTATGTTCGCACGTAGTCTGGCATTGTGTGATGGAAGGCGGAGTCGAAGAACGTGATGCTGGGCACGCTAGGGAGCTCTTTTCGGCAGAGGCGGATGATTTCCAGAGCTGAGAAGTTGTGCCTAATCCGGTAGGAAAATACTTAGTTTGGTATCACACAATGCGAGGCAGAAGAAGAGCTTACAGCGGCGCCAGGTCTTCCAATGCCTCCAGATGGTGCATAGTATCATCATTGATCTCCACCGAGTCCTGGTAATCGCCGCCGTGGACGACCCGGTGGCAGATGTATGCTAGATCGCTTTCGCTCGCGACCTCGGATAGCTCGGGATCATCGAAGCAGCGCTTCAGGAGGTATTTAAAGGCATCTTGAGGCGTGCTCAGCTTCTCCTGCAGCTTCTCCTGGTGCTTGGTAGAGCCAGTGCGCTGGAATTTGAGAGCGGGCGGGGGCGCCGTGATACCGGAGATCTGCGCATCGGCGATAGCTTTAGGTGGGTTCTCGAACGTATAGAACGTGATCTTCACGGACGAAGACCCGGCGTTCACAGCGAGGACGGTTTTCGCCATGGCTGTGTTGAAATGGTGCCTGAATAGTGTTTTGGAAAGTGCTGGACAAGTTGTGTCGCGAAAACGCTGGTTCTAGTGCGCAAAACTGGTTGTTCTGTATCCTGTTGTTGGTGGTTGGTGAGTGATGTCAAGTGGGAAGAATTGTGACGTCGCCGAAGGGAACAGGGCGGATCAAAAAGCCCTATGGTAAGATCCGTGGCATGACCGGTACTTCTTTTCTTTCTGCTGCATCCGGTCAATTATTTTCATTTATCTCAAACTACTAACAGTGTTCACCTTACACGGCTATTCCGTGTACGTTTTCTTGTGCCTATCACCCGCTCCAAAGCTCCACCCGTTCATCGCGATTATGCCTGGAGAAGTCATCGATCGGCCAAATCCGCAGCCACTGCCGTCGCATTTGCCAGACTATGTGGAGAATCTGCAAATCAAACTCAAGCATGAGACTCTAGACCAAAACTCCTGCGATGCCTTGTTGAAGTTTCGCCGGGCGGCATGCTATATTGCGGCAGGTAAGTAGATTTTACGATCGGAATACCTTGAGGCGCAAGTACTAATTCCCGCACAGCGATGATTTTCCTCGAAGATAACACGCTTCTGAGAAACGAACTTACATTCGATGATATTAAACCTCGGCTGCTCGGTGAGCTCAACCCTGTATAGTCTTCGATAGAATTCGCTATGTGCTAACAAGGCCTTTTTTTCGCAGGCCACTGGGGAACATGCCCCGGTCTCATTATGGTTTACTCCCATCTGAACTATCTCATCCGGAAGAAAAATCTCGATATGCTCTTTGTTGTTGGTCCGGGACACGGAGCACCCGCAATTCTAGCAGCATTGTGGCTGGAGGGGTCACTGGAGAAGTTCTATCCGGAGTATTCTCGTGATAGCGAAGGTCTTCACCGGCTTGTTTCTAGATTCAGCACGACAGCTGGCCTTCCTAGGTTAGTTGCTAAGAACTTCATGATGACTACAGAGGCTGACAGTTTCTTCCAGTCATATCAATGCGGAAACCCCCGGGTCGATTCACGAAGGTGGAGAGCTAGGCTATGCGTTGGCCGTTTCCTTCGGCGCAGCCATGGACAACCCCGATCTGATTGTCCCTTGTGTCATTGGAGATGGAGAAGCCGAATCCGGTCCTACTGCTGCGTATGTTCTTCGAAATATTACTTCCAAACGCCATACTGACTATAAACAGCTCGTGGCATGCAATCAAATATCTCGACCCCAAAGAGTCCGGCGCGGTTCTTCCAATTCTGCACCTCAACGGTTTCAAAATCAGCGAGCGCACAATCTTCGGGTGTATGGATAACAAAGAGTTAGTGGCACTTTTTAGCGGATATGGATACCAGGTCCGCTTCGTGGAGGACCTGAACGACATCGATACAGACCTTCATTGTTCTATGGTATGGGCTGTGGAGGAAATCCAAAAGATTCAGCAGGCCGCTCGTTCTGGGAACCCAATTCTGAAACCGCGCTGGCCAATGCTGATCTTGCGAACACCAAAGGTAAGTCTATCAACCAGAAGTAAGCATCAATGACACTCACAATATTCTAGGGATGGTCCGGTCCGAAGGAGCTCAATGGCCAATACATTGAAGGGTCATTCCATTCCCATCAAGTACCCTTGCCCAAGGCCAAGAGTGATAAGCAGCAATTGAGTCTTCTGCAGAAATGGCTCTCGGACTACAAGCCCGAAGAGCTCTTTACAGAAGGCGGCGATATAATCGACGAGATCAAATCGGTTATCCCAGAAGAAAACACGAAGAAGTTGGGTCAGCGCGTCGAAGCCTACAACAGCTATGTCGCGCCTAATTTGCCAGACTGGAAGAAGTTCTGTGTGAAGAGAGGCACGGACGAAAGTGCAATGAAGGCAGTTGGCAAGCTGATCGATGCTGTCTTCGTGGAAAATCCGCACACCGTGCGATTGTTCTCTCCGGATGAGCTGGAGAGTAACAAACTTGACGCCGTCTTCGAAAATACCAACCGCAACTTCCAGTGGGATGAATTCGCCAACGCGCGCGGTGGTCGTGTGATTGAGGTGTTGAGCGAGCACATGTGTCAGGGTTTCATGCAGGGATACACCCTGACTGGCCGAACGGCTATTTTCCCATCATATGAGAGCTTCCTGGGAATTATTCACACTATGATGGTGCAGTATTCCAAGTTCATGAAGATGGTAAGTCTAGCTTTTATTCCACTCACTCTTGCTTATGCACTAATGTCGCGTCCAGGCCCTCGAGACCAATTGGCATGGCCCTGTTAGCAGCATCAACTACATCGAAACTAGCACCTGGGCCCGCCAGGAGCACAATGGCTTCTCCCACCAGAACCCATCGTTCATCGGCTCCGTGCTCAAGCTCAAGCCCACCGCCGCTCGTGTCTACCTACCACCAGACGCAAACACTTTCTTGACCACAATGCACCATTGTCTGAAGTCGAAGAACTATATCAATCTGATGGTAGGCTCAAAGCAGCCGACGCCCGTGTATCTCACTCCAGAAGAAGCCGAGAACCACTGCCGGGCAGGTGCATCAGTCTGGAAGTTCTGCAGCACGGACGATGGGTTGAATCCAGACGTGGTCCTGGTTGGCATTGGCGTGGAGGTCATGTACGAAGTGGTTCAAGCTGCAGAGATCCTGCGAGAGCGAGCACCATCTCTGCGCGTTCGCGTGGTAAACGTGACAGACTTGATGATCCTCGATAACGAAGGACAACACCCCCACGCTCTGTCCAATGAAGGGTTTAATCGTCTCTTCACTGAAGAGAGACCTATTCACTTCAATTATCATGGCTATCACACTGAGCTGCAAGGCTTGCTGTTCGGTCGACCGCGCCTGGATCGTGTTTCGATTGCCGGGTACATGGAAGAGGGCAGTACTACCACGCCCTTTGATATGATGATTGTCAATCGGGTCTCGCGTTATCATGTTGCGCAAGCGGCCATTGGTGGAGCACAGCGGAATGAAAAGGTCCGGGCTCACCAGCAAGAATTGCATGCCGAGTTCGAGCAGAAGATTAAAGAGACGAGAAAGTACATCATCGAGCATCAACAAGGTGAGTTGAACCGCATTCTTCCCTGGTTTGCGACATCGCTGACATTGCTGACTGGCTTACAGATCCTGCTGGGACGTATGACACCCCAAATGTTCTCGTGAATGTTGCCTAGAGTAGTGAAAGCACAAGCGGGGTGTCGGGGTAGAGACTGATGAGACTTGGCTAGATGGGTTGTCGCGAGCAATTGTCCTTTTTCCATATTATCGGTAGGCGGTGTGTTTAATTAAATGCAAATGAAAAAGACTTCGAGAGTCATGGCTTTGAGCCGTCCGCACACTGGAAACCCACCTGAAGAAAGAGGAGATCCGGCCCGGCGGACGTTTGCCGATGTCAAAACTTGGCGTGGTGGCGTCCGTCGGAAAACCCACATGCTCATGCTCATAGCACATGGACAGCACATCGTGCTCAGCCCTGCAGGTTTCTACAACCTTGAAACCTTGGAAAGTTCAAGGGGCCTTTGGGCTGGCTATTTGAATTGTATCTTCCCTTTCCGACCATCTTGATGATCAAATGGCCGAGATCAAGTAGGGGTTTCCAAAATCGGACGTCTATGTGGGCGTGGTGGTGGCCCAGCATTTCGGATATATATTGCTTCAACTTAAAGGAGAGTAGAACCTCAAGTGCTTCGAGAATATCCAGAATTCACAAAAGGACGGCATTGGAATGGGATTGAGACCCAAATACATCATCATCATCATCATAGGTAGCCTACGAAAACCGGTGAAATATAGGTAGAACAGCCGCGAATCTTCAAATGTCCCAAGTCCGGAAGCCCCGCGAGCCCCGCGAGCCCCGCGGGTAAGGCTCTGGGCCTTCCATGGTTCTGGATATGACCGAATCGTGCAATCGGGTGGCTATTTAGTCCTGAGCCTCATGTCCAAGCATTTGGCTACAAGCTATGGGTCGGATCTCGAATGTGACATTCTCTTAGCGGTGAACCCGGTAACCTGAAATGCACGGGCACTTGAGTGCAGACGGGCTCAAATACGAAGCCCAGATGACTCAACAACTGTACAACGGGTCTAGAAGCCTAATGTCTTAGTTGTAGGACACCTTCGACAAGGAAAACCCGGTTCAGAAATCCGTGGGAGGCCATGGGCAGGGAGCGTCGGATCGGAGGTAGCGAGAAGGCAGAAGCCCGCCGAGTCGCGCGCAGAGGCCGCCAAGCGCACACAGGCTAAACCCGAACAGGAGGACCTTGCGAGACCCAAGCTTTGCGAAACACAGCAGACGTCTCTGTCGGCCCGAATTCCTATCAAGATCTGACCAATGTTGCATGGTTCCTGGCTTTGATGTCATTTTTCCCCCTAGGTTTTCTATACAATGCATAGTCTGGCGGTCCACTTCCTGTCTTGCGACCCCCACTTGTTCAAAATTTCCGCCGCTTCGTAACCCACCATGTATTTGCTAACCCCGTTGGCGCCAAGCGGGTTTGATATTGACTCGCGGATGCGTCGGGATTGGTTACCCCGAGGGTACAATCCGTTAGATCTGACAAGTCAAGTACTCGTGGCCCCCCATAGCTCGCAAGCTCTTCTAGAACGGTGGCCACGCACTGCTCAGCCTTGATTTCTCCCGACTTTAATATACATCGCCGTTAAAACTCAGCCTCTTTTGCCTATTGCCCCGAGACCCGGAAGCCTAGCCTTTCCGAAAATCCTTTCTTTTTTCAATCTCCCAAATCCGATCCGTCTTTATCATCTTGTTCAAACGGCCCGTCATTCATTCGCCTGATATAATTCGCCATATAGTTGGCATTCTAACCGCCTCCCTAGACCTGGCTATTCTACCTTTTCGTTCTTTCTTTTTTTTTTTTTTTTTTTTGATTAATTCTACGACCTGCACGAGCTTCGTCTAATTCTCCGAGCTCATCATGGACAAGCAAGAGTTGCTAGTTGGCTGCCATGCCAAAGTTCCTGGCGTCGGCACCTCATACGGATACGTTCCAACACTTGGAGCTGGCATTGCTTACGTCGTCCTCTTCGGCCTCTCCATGATGTTACACACTGTTCAAATGTGCTGGAAGCGCACATGGTGGACCAGCGTTTTCGCTATTGGATGTCTCGTGGAAGTTATTGGATGGGCTGGTCGAACCTGGTCATCAGAATGCCCGTATAACTCGACTGCATTCCTGATGCAAATTTCCACCCTTATCATTGGTGAGTAGCTTCAATGCCAATTTCAGAAGACCGAGTTGAAAGGCAGTCACGCTAACAATCTCATAGCTCCCACCTTTTTCACAGCAGGCATCTATGTCCTCCTTGGTCAGTTCATCCGACAACTCGGCCGTGAATCATCCATCCTCAAACCGAGCCTCTACCTCTGGATCTTCGTCACCTGCGATATCATCTCGCTAGTCATCCAGGCAATCGGTGGTGGAATGGCATCTGGGGAAGCCACCAAGGTCAACGGCAACACCGCCCCCGGCACTAACATCATGGTTGCTGGAATCGTTTTCCAACTATTCTCCGTCACCATCTTTGTCCTCTGCGCCGCCGATTTCATTCGTCGGTCCCTGCGCCATAACCTTCTTCAACAATTGACTGGATCGATTATTCCTCTGCTCGGCGCCATGATCCTCTCCGTGGTATGCATCTATATTCGGAGTATCTACCGTACGATCGAGTTGTCGCAGGGCTGGACTGGGTACTTGATTACTCACGAGAGCTACTTCATTGGCTTGGATGGAGCCATGATGATTATTGCTGTGGCGGTCTTCAATATTATTCACCCTGGTTGGCTTCTGCCCAACCATGAGAAGAGCAACGCGTGGAAACGAGAGACTTCCGGAGACGAGATTGAGATGAACCGCGTTTCAGAATCTTAAGTGCATCTCTTCATTCGTGTACTTTTTTGTTGTCTCCCATGTGGGTACCGTTGCAAATAGTATCGCGTGGGTGGCAGACTAGACTATAAACTGAGACTTTAGCGATAATGAACACAGAATGTGATTTGATGCATGAACCGAGCATGTGAATTGAGACGTGTATCTACTAGAGTACTATCCCCTAATGATCGCCGAGATTAATCCTACGAGGGCTCCTAAGTGGATGCGTAACGTCTTCGTAGTCTACTATTTGAGCGAAGATGTGATTTGTTTAGGTCTATCTTGACCAGGGAGTCAACGCAGCACATCAGATGACAAGCTTCGCTATTGCTTAGCTATCAAGTCAAACACCAACAAGAATCAAATTGCCTCAATCACTGAAATCAACAAGTAAGCCATAACGCCCCCGTTAAGAATTAACACCATCCAACTAGGCATGTTTTGCAAAGTACTATACACCATCCACTGCCTCAACCCAGGCAAAGACACCGCCCACTGCCAATGTAGCGACAGCCCAAACAGAGCCCCACACAAATGCGCCTTCCACAGAAACACTCTGAATCGTGCCTGCAACCTGGACAATGGTGTTGAGCAGGATCACAGACGCCAACAGGAGCGTACGAGAAGCCAGAATTCTCGCCTTGACTGACAACTGACCCCAGGTCTTGCGATAAATAGCCGTAAATAGGACTTCTCCCTGACGTTCTTCACGTTTGGCCTCATCTTCGGTCGAGCTCGTCGAGTTTCCAGCGGAGCTAACGAACAGGAAATCGCGCACAGCATAGCCGACAGGGATCAAAGTCAAGAAGAGAGTAGGAAGACCTGCGGGACCAGCATGCGCGGCGCTGATGTCCGGAATGCTCTCAAAGTGCATCACGAGCTGGACAGGAAGCCAAGTTGCGTAGCTTGCGTACAGCATGACACTAAAGATAGACGTCGCGGTAAGAGTGGTGTAGATCGTCGTCAAATGGTCTTGCAGAATGGTTCGGTTGGCAACGGCGCCCGATGGAGCGTGCGACAAATCATGAACCGACGATGGCCGGCGCAAGAGGGCGAATGGAATCACCGTCGAGGCGATTGTGATCGCATACGAGGTGAGAACCGAAGTAGGTCGAACGCCATAGAAGAAGGACAAAAGGGTGTAGGTGGGCATGTGCGTTAAGAAGAGGAAGGATGCGGCATCCCAACCTGCGAAGTGAGGCACTCGTTAGCATCATTCTCCGAGAAACTGCGACACGCATTCTTCAACTCACTGTCAAGTCCAACAGCCCAGGCCAAGCCAACTTCAACGGCTCTCCATCCCACCAAGACCCCCACTTCCCACCACTCCTCCAAGTGTTTGCTGACCAGGCCGAGGTCATTCAATGTCAAATCCGAGGTGAGAGAGTGAAGGACCGAGCTGACCAAGAGACTGCTCAGAACGACCAGAAAGAAGCGCGCAGGCGAGGGGATGCGCGCGAGTGGCGTTGGCTGCGCAGGGGCAGTCAGAGGTGTCAGGGCCGCTTTGGGATCGTCTGTCTGACGCGAATGGACGCGCTCGGACGAGGATACCTTCTTGGGAGACATGTTTAAGATGGAGGACACTAACAAGAATCGGAAGAATTGAATAGCTAGTGAAGAGCCCACGCGACCAGGATAAAAAAAAGAAGGCAGGAACGTGGAATGTTGGTCGGCGGTGAGTGAGCGATGATGTCACTATCAAGAGCTTCCAAGGTCCGGTGTATGATAGCTCGTCAGAAGTGGATTTCTATTTAATTCCAATCAAATAATGTAGTTCAAAAAGGTGACATAGAAACATAAAGTGTACATCAATCATCCTCGCTCTCGTTCTCGCTCTCTGCAACAGCGAATTCCACCGTTCCGCTCTCGCGTCCCTTGGTATCTCGCACGACGATGCGGTACTTGCCCTGATTCCAGAGGTCCTTGATGGTCAGCTCGCGTGTGCGGCCGAGACTCTCAATGTCTCCAATACGAGTCAGGGTACCCTCCAGGTGGTCATCAAATCCTTCACGGGCACAAATCTCTCGGAAGGCGCGCTGCATGGGAACGGAATCGGCGCGCACCATAGCTCGCGAGTCGATGGTGAAGATGTTATCGTGATCGTAGGACTGGACAAAGTCGGCACGAGTCATGATCTCGCGCGCCTCATGAAGCGGGATCGATGGCAGGATATGACCTCTCTCTGGGTGATAGATCTCTTCCATCTTTCCTTCACGGTCGACCAGGGCCTTGGCCAGGACCATGGCAGCAGACTGTTAAGATGTCTTAGTATACTTTTGTCAAAATCAGGTGAAGATAAAGCACTCACCGAATACTTCTGCTCGTCCATCACATCGTCATCCATCTCCATACCGAGAATCCAGCACTTGTTGAGGAACCATGTTTTCTCGGCTCGGCAGATCTCGTCACAGGTGGATGTGATGTTGTGAGACTTTGCAACTCGGTTCAGGAAAGACAGTCGCCCGCCCACTTTGTCATAGACTTCCTCAAGAATCTTCGATGGCAGATCCTCATTGTAGAATTGCTTGCGGTATTTCTTCAATGCATCCATCGCCTTGTCCTTGGGCAGATCGGTGACTGGGATGACTTCCATACGCGTCGCATAACGCTTCAGGCGCTCGTATACCCAGTAATCGTCGCTGTTGAGGACTATTTGCAGATCAGTATCTGTGAAACTAGATAATAATGACGAGAGAAACCTTACTAGTGGTGACAAGGCCGCTTGCAGCCCATTGCTCGGCCCGTTGCTGGATCATCTCCAGAAGATCCTGGCCATCGTGATCGTCCCGAACCAGGTGAGCACTGTTAACAATGAGGATGAGCGGTGGCGTGCCATTCTTTCTTCTGGCCAAAGCAACCTTCTCAAGTTTGTTGAAGGCTCGCTCGATGTCCAGCAGGGCTGTTGTATCACGCGGGCCACGAATACTGAAAAGGCTTCCAATGTAGCTATATAATCTGTTAGAAAGCAATTTGGCACACAGAAGACAGGGAAATCATACTCCTCATGGAACTCGTAGTCCAGGGCCTTTCCAAGTCGAATGCGGAAGATCTCAAGATCTGCATGAGCCTCAAACATGGCACAACCAAGGCCATTGATTTTGCGCATCGCTTCTAGGAGCATAGAGGTCTTTCCAGTGCCCTTCTCACCGACAATGAGATAATAGTGACCGCCACGTCGTCCGGAAACAATGTCATCGATCCGCATTTGCTCGTCCCGAGGAATCCAGTGCTCCTCATAGGCGTACTGATGCTTTCCGGACACCACACCGGCAACTTCAAGAGCCGGGTCACCTGGATTGAATGCGTTGTCCATCTTATCCAAAATCAGGTACTTGTAGTACTGGTGGTACCCGTAGCCGGCCGCTCTACGAATAAAGATTAGCCCGACTTTACCCCGTCATTGAAAAGTGATCGTACCCTAGAATGAAGATGGATGCTGCCGTAGTTGCACCTGTTTCCAGCATCTTCAGAATGGTGGATTTCAGATTTGGATCATCGCTCTTGCGACCCTGACCCTTGCCATCTTCCGCGTCATTCTGATCAGTAGGATCAGGAGTGTACTGGCCCATATTTTTTGGGTCAGAAGAATTAAAGCGTTTAAATGTGCTCTGAACAAGACCTCCATTAGACTTAAGAGGTCTTGGCCAGGCTTGTCGGGTAAAGCATGTCAGCGGCTGAGCAAGCCGGTTCCATAGCATCTTGATGGCTCCGCCTAGTCTTGACAGATGTAAACAGTATCAAGGATGTCTGGAGATGGTTTGTAATGTAACAGTATACACTGAGATCCGCAGATTGTAGTTAGTCTAATCCACAGCGCAACAGCCACAGCCAGGCTACAGTAGTGTGGGCTCACGACTGTCAGCGCTACACCATCAGGGGATAACGCGTCTGATAAAAGAGAGCGTACGGGTGAGAACCCAATTTTTGAAGAAGAAAGAAAGAAAGAAAAAAAAACCAAAAAGGAGATAACGAGAGACTTGAAGTTTGAAGCGAAAATGTCAACTTGAGAGAGCAGGGAGGTTAATTGTGGCTGAGGCGTGGTGGAGTTCCATTTCTCGATCTTATGGGGGGCTTGGCACTTTCGATTGGGGCTTATTTTGCTTCTACGTGTCCTAGAGTCCCGCTTACGTCGAGTGGCGTTCTTAAGAGCTGGCATATAAGAAAGTACCGGGGTATAGAAGGGCTGTGTTATCTTTTGTGTACGCAATACCTGTGTCAATGCCGGTGTTGATACTACTGTAGGCACAGAGTTAACACTTTGTTGGTTCCTGAGTCGCGTAGTAAGTTGCATTGCACAGGACTTATTAATCTGGGGACTTTTGCACTATCGAGACAATAGATTCAGCGATGTTGATATATGCGCATGGGACTATATTACATCAAAGCCAAGTTGCTTTGCTTAGTCCCAAGGATGAGTGCCCGTTGTCAAAGGTCCGTCAAAACTGGTTTGTCGCTGTCGGGAAGTTCTCCCGAAGCTAAATGACGAAACACACCAGTGCGTGTTTGGTTTCAGGGGTTGGGGTGTCTTGGAAATGGCTTAAGAGCAAAATGTCTTTAATGGATGTGAATTATGAATTACGTCTGAGCATCCCGCAAGGGGCCAAGATGGACTTCTCGTTACGTGGAGGCCTGAGGCACCGTATATCTAGACACGTTAGCTACTATCAACAAGTTACTATAGACTTCGGGGATACTTATCTAAATTTCGAGCTGTAAATTATCCAACCTGTCTCTAGTCAGCCCAAATTGAGGAAATGTAAGGGTCATTCCCCAGAAGCAACTGGAAATTCCTTATTCCTTGTGGAGAAGGACTCTCCGCGGCGCCTTCCCCGAACCCACCGCCCGAGCACTTCCGAGGGTATGCCGCATCCGCGAAATTTTCTCCTCCGTTCCACCGTTCTTCAACCGGACTATTTCCTTTTTGCATCTCTCTCTATATCTGGGGCACGGGGTTTTTGGCTTTTTGCTTCAATTGCCTCTTATCCTTCTTGTATCATAGCGACCCTTTTTTTCTTCCCTGCCGGATTCCCCGCAGGTCCTCATTTTTTCGACCATTCGTCTCTACCCCGAGATAGCTATCGCCAATTGATTTTGCCGAAGCTATCATACTCAATCGATTCGACATAATGGCGCAATCCAATGGAGAGTTGGAACACTCGAAAGGTCCGTCCGCCCTCGATACCACGATACCACGTTGTCACACGAGCCGTCGGATCGAAGCATAACTCGCGAACGATACTCGACTAGGAAAGCATGCGCTGACATTTCAACAGAGGTTGCCCAACAGACAAACGGCAATGGCCCCGAGGGTGTGGAGGATGAGAATGCTGGCGGTATGTGGGATTAAATCGAGCCAGGTGGATTGGTGGTTTTCTGACTCGTGTCAAGGTCTCTTCCAGATCTCCGTGAAGCTCCCCCATGAGCCTTACATGATCCAGGTTATGGTTAGTGATTCGTTTTCACAGTCCATTGGAAGTATACTGACCTCTTTTGTCAACAGGTGTCGAGCCAAGAGCAGGTGCAAGATGTCCGCCAATCGATCGTCGAGCTCCCCGGTACCTTCCAGTACACATGCTTCCACCTTGAGCACAACGGAACCCGCATCAATGATTTCGTTGAGCTGTCCGAGGTCCCGGATCTCAAGGCTGATTCCGAGATCGTGCTGGTGGAAGACCCCTACACCGAGAAGGAGGCCCGCATGCATGTTGTGCGGATGAGGGAGCTGGTTGGTGCTGCTGGTGACCGTGTGGACAACCTTCACGGTATCGCCGCAGGCCTCTCCCTGCACGATGCCATCGCCGCCGAGGCTGCTGCCGCCGCCGAGTCGGAGAAGGACCACTCTCTCGCCAAGTACAACCTGACTGGCACCTCTTCGCTGCAGACCATCTTGCCTAAGTCCGACACTCCCCTCCCCAAGACCGTCAAGTCGATCTCGCTGTCGCCCTGGAACCCTGTTCCTTATAACCTCCGCCAGAAGGGTCACCTTCTGTACCTCCAGGTCACCATCAACGAGGGCGAGCAGTTCCAGATTACCTCCCACGTCTCGGGCTTCTACGTCAACATGAACTCGAACAGCCGCTTCGATCCTTTCCCGAAGGCGATGCCCAAGAACGTCAATGGAAAGGCTCACTCTCTTCTCACCCTGCTCTCTCAGCTGTCGCCCTCGTTCAACACTGCATTCGAGGCCCTGCAGGAGTCCAACAACCAGAAGGATCTCTTGACCACCTTCCCATTCCAGAATGCCATTCCCAACAGCCCATGGCTCGTTGCTCCGGCCTCCTCCAGCTTGAACGCTCACCTGCCCGATATCACTCGCTCCCAGGAGAGCTACCTGATCTCCGGTGTGGACAATGCCGAGACTCTGCGTGACTGGAACGAGGAGTTCCAGACCACCCGCGAACTGCCCCGCGATACCGTTCAAGATCGTGTCTTCCGGGAACGCTTGACCTCCAAGCTGTTCGCTGACTATAATGAAGCTGCCGCCCGTGGTGCCGTCCTGGTTGCTCGGGGTGAGGTTGCTCCTTTGAATCCCACCGAGGCATGGGATGCCCAGATTTTCGTATACAACAACATCTTCTACTCCTTCGGCGCTGATGGTGTCGGCACTTTCACCTCCGAGGGTGGTGACGAGGCTGCCCGTGTTGCTGTCGGCAAGGACGTTTTGGGTATCAAGGCTGTCAATCAGCTCGATATCCAGGGCCTGTTCACTCCTGGTACTGTTGTCGTTGATTACCTTGGTAAGCGAATTGTTGGCCAGAGCATTGTGCCTGGTATCTTCAAGCAGCGTGAGCCCGGTGAGCACCAGATCGACTACGGCGGTGTTGAGGGCAAGGAGGTCGTTGCCACCAACGAGGAATTTGTTCCCGTCTTCGAGAAGCTGTCCAAGGCTCTCCGCATTAAATCGCACCCGGTTTGGGACAAGGATGGGAAGCGCCACAACCTTGAGGGCAGCGTTGAGACCAAGGGCCTCCTTGGTACCGATGGCCGAAAGTACGTTTTGGACCTGTACCGTGTCGCTCCTCTGGACGCTTCATGGCAGGAAGAGGAGGGCAACGATGTGTACCCCCATCGTATGTCTGTCCTGAGACTAGAGCTCATTGAGGCATACTGGCGCAGCAAGATGAGCGCCTACGTCAAGGCTGAGGTTGAGAAGCGCCGTGCTGCTAAGGCCGAGGAAGCCCCCAAGGAGGACAAGTCTGATGAAGGTTCTGAAGAGAAAACCGAGGAGAAGACTGAGGAGAAGACTGAGGAGTCCGCGGACAATGAGCGCGTCGACATCTCTGGATTCAACCTCGCTCTCAACCCCGATGTCTTCAGTGGCCAGGTCCCTCAGACCCAGGAGGAGAAGGAGCAGTGGGCCCAGGATGAGAAGGAGGTGCGCGAGGCTTGCGACTACCTGCGCTCTAAGATCATCCCGGAGCTAGTCCGAGACCTGCACGATGGCGACGTTGGCTTCCCTATGGATGGTCAGTCCCTGACCCAGCTCCTGCATAAGCGCGGTATCAACATCCGCTACCTTGGTAAGCTGGCTCAGCAGTCCAACGAAAAGGGTGCTCGCCTTCAGGCCCTGTCCACTCTCCTGGTGCAGGAGATGGTCGCTCGTGCCTTCAAGCACGTTGCGCACAACTACCTCTCCAACGTTCCCGCTCCATTCGTCGCTCCTTGCATCGCCCACCTGCTGAACTGCCTGTTGGGCACCGGTATTAATGCTTCCCCCAAGGCTGAGATTGAAGAGTCTCTGCGTGAGGTCTACCCCGAGGGTGACTTCTCGTTCGAGAAGGTCACTCCCGAGTCTCTCCGTACTGAGATCGAGAAGCAGGTTTCCGTCCGCTACCGCTACTCTCTGGAGAAGACCTGGGTCGGATCGCTGCGCCACCTGCAGCTTTTGCGTGACATCTCGATCAAGCTGGGTCTCCAGCTTGGTGCCCGCGAATTTGCTTTCTCGAAGGACCAGGTTAAGGAGCAGGCTCCTCCCACCAACGGTACCAACGGCAGTGGCAACGACGATAGCAAGAAGAAGAACAACAACAAGAAGAAGGGTGGCGACGCCAAGTCTAAGTCCCCTGTCCGCGTTGTGGTGGAGACTAAGCCTGCTCTTTCCATCTTTGCTGATGACATCCTGAACATTGTTCCCCTAGTCAAGGATGCTGCTCCTCGCAGTGCCTTGGCTGAGGAGGCTCTGGAGGCCGGCCGTATCTCGCTCATGCAGAACCAGAAACAACTGGGCCAGGAGCTCATTCTGGAGTCTCTGTCCCTGCACGAGCAGATCTACGGTATTCTTCACCCCGAGGTTGCCAAGCTGTACCACCAGCTTTCCATGCTCTACTACCAGACCGAGGAGAAAGAGGCTGCTGTGGAGTTGGCCCGCAAGGCTGTCATAGTTACTGAGCGCACTCTGGGTGTTGACTCCGCTGACACCATCTTGGCCTATCTCAACCTGAGTCTGTTCGAGCATGCCTCCGGGAACACGAAGACTGCCCTGGTGTACATCAAGCACGCCATGGATCTCTGGAAGATCATCTACGGAGCTAACCACCCTGACTCTATCACCACTATGAACAACGCCGCCGTCATGCTGCAGCACCTGAAGCAGTACGGCGACTCCCGCAAGTGGTTTGAGGCTTCCCTCGCTGTCTGCGAGGACCTCTTCGGCAAGCAGTCCATCAACACCGCCACCATCCTCTTCCAGCTTGCCCAGGCTCTGGCCCTGGATCAGGACTCCAAGGCCGCCGTTGGCAAGATGCGTGAAGCCTACAACATCTTCCTTGCTCAGCTTGGTCCGGAGGATCGCAACACCAAGGAGGCCGAGACCTGGCTCGAGCAGCTCACCCAGAACGCTGTCTCTATCGCGAAGCACGCCAAGGACATCCAGGCCCGTCGCATGCGCCGCATCGCCATCAACCCCCGCGGATCCACCATGGGCACTCGCGTGCAGCCCCAGGTTGGCCAAACTGTGCCCGAGAGTGCCGGTGCCGCCGCTTCCGGTATGGACTCCCGCAGCATTGATGAGCTGCTGAAGTTCATCGAGGGCAGCGATGCCAGCTCCTCTCGCTCCAAGAAGAAGCGTACTTCTGCCAACCCCAAGCTCCGTGGCTCTAAGCAGTCTAAGGCTTAAATTCTTCTTACGATTTGATTAGTTCCGGGTGTTTCTTTTTCTTGGCAATCTCGTGTCTTAACAATAAAATACTCCATGATTGTTTTTCGGAAGGGGCTCGGGGTGTCACGTTTGATGAGTGGGGAATGATGTATTTTAGATCTCTCCTCTCCCTGTTATTATTATATTTTGAACATCTGGGCCTATCCTGATCAATGGAAAGGTTCATGCACACCTTTGTACTATATTACCCAAATCTGGACGCGTATGATGCGATGTACTTAAAAGTCTGCATATGTCGGTTTCAGTTTGGGCCAATTCAGGTACCCCAGGAATACTACACAGTAGACTTTTCTAATAGCTTCCAGAGGTGGGGTGGTAGCCCTGGAGTATCATGTCAATATGTTATCCGCGAAATTATTCTTAGGTAGCACACCGCCCGCGCGTGACCGCTTCGGACCCACCCTTGTTTACTTTGTTTTGCCCTCCGATCTTCTGGTGTTCGCATTCGCAACCGCATTCCATTCGACACGCACCTCTTATTTAGGGTTAAAGGATATTTTATCATATTTAGCCTATTGGACTTTTGCTCCGAAACTTGACCATGTCTGAGGGACGAGCGTGGTGATTGCCATGCATCATCGCAGAGTTGGTTCTGAGGCCCGTTACTGCAGTAAGACACAATGGTCTCCCAAGTCTTGGGCTTTTTACGACGAGACTAATGAGATTATCTACAGGTCTATGGATTCAACCGATAGGATTATCCCCATCTATTCATAATGGACGACATTCAACCCACCGCGCGATGGGCAAACCGCATGCTGCGACCTTTGACCTCCATATACCGTCGACTCGAGAAACACCATGAAACACTAGCGACGATCGCGGTCGATTCAAGGATAAAGGCGGAAATTGAAGATATCGATAAGCATACGCCACCAATCGCCGAGCCTGTGAATACCCGAGACACCCTCTCTGGCTCAGACGCGGACGAGGACGACCCAGTTTGGATCCCAGGGAAAAAGCCCGAGCAGCGGCGCAACAAGCATAACTATTCAGGCCGAGGACAAGGGAAAGGTGGAAGGAAACGCACGAGACTATCGATAAACAGCCCGGAAGCCCCTCGCACACTGCCAGGCGCAATTGAGCTTGCAACACCTCTGATCACTGGCAAGCGTTGGGAGATCCCGTCAAGCGCTCGATCCCAATTCTCGATTGAACGGCGGAACGAAGTTCACAGAAAAGGCCAGCAGCAAGCCTTTCGCGACCGATATTCGCTGCACAAGAGCCCATGGCAAACGCTTCTTGACCAGTCGGACTCGGGGTTTGCTGACATAGCCCACAATCTTGACCGCGTTCTTCAAAACTTCCTTTGCAACACACGGGTCGTTCAACGTGGGACGAATGGTACATTGGCTAAGCCCGAGCGCGGCGCGCGTTCCTTGCTCTCTATGGTGGCGCGCAGCCTGCCAGAGTTCATTGCAAGAGAGCAGGATGCACAGAATGATATGGAGCACGATGGTGAAGAAGACATGTACGATGCATACTATACGGAACTGGAATCATTTTACGCACCCCATGGCAGAGGCTGGAAGCCTCTTCGCGAGGCAGTTCGTGCCCAGGGCATCCATATGGTGTCTACCATGATCCAGAACAAATGGGTCACCGATCCAATCGCATGCGCACTGGTTGAAAAATGCGGGCCCAACGAACTAGACGCTTGCGAATCACTCCTCTCGACGTTCCTCTCCACACGCACGAAGTATCACTACCCGCTTGCCCTCAAGTCCGACACAGAGCCGCGTATCGGAGACCCTATTCTACTCCTACGAAAATACACTCGATATGGTTCAGCTAGTCGGTCTTTTATCTTTGACGAGCTTGCCAAGCTACTTATACGTGGTGTGCTGCCGCCAGAATGGATGGCGACCAAACATTGGAACAGTTGGATGACCCGAGCCACGATATCATTTTCCAAAGGCGATAGCGACTGTGCTGCGGCTTCACAGCTGATTGAGGCTGTGCTTGTTTCTGCCAGTGATATCCGTCCGGCCCCCGAGGCTCCAAACCCCAAGAGAAGACTTCGGGCCAAGCTCCGAGCTACTGGTGGAAGGGCAACTCGGGCTTCTTTTGGAGGACCGGCCAGTAAAGTTGAGACTATACGTCCTTGTCCTGTGCCAATTGAAGACGCACTGAGCAATCATATCACGAGTCTTTTGGCAGCTTTATGCGGCATGCATATCTCACGGTCCCGCGATCTGGAGGATGTTGAATCCTTCGATGGAACAAAAGCGGGCCACATCATTAATTATCTTTCTTTTAACCTGGAAAAAGACATGGCGTTACGGCCAATGTCTCATGTTATCAACCTCACATCACATCAGTTGTTTAGACGGGGTTGTATCTTGTTGGCAAATTGCCTATTGCAATGCAACGATGCAGCTTTGACGGGTGTCAGCCCATGTATGATGATATCGAACCCCAGACTTGATAAGCACTGTGACATGTTGGCGTCGCGCGCCGACTTGGTGAAGGAACTGGCACTTTTCGTGCGACAAGCCTTCCGATGCTTTGGAAGTGCTACGGACAATGAGCGTTTATACACTGCCCAAGAGATTCGCCGTATTATCTCACAGTTTCCTCGCTTGGCCCAAGCCTCAAGTCTATCTGCTTTACTATGTCAAGTAGCCATTGAGTCTGCCATGGGATTTGCAGAGGGCACAGGGGAACCTGATGACCATGTATGGGCAGTTGAGATTCAAGAGACAGTCATTGCGCTGCGGAATGGAAGAGAGTCAAGTCCAGAATCTACGGATGAATCGGATGAGCAAGGGCTGCGCAGAGGATACCGATGGGAAGAAAGCATTGGAGAATGGGTTGCCCGTACACCAGCAGCCAAATCAAATCCGGGGCCTAGCGTGGTTGTCAGAAGACGTACCTCCCTTGCGCTACCCATGCTATGTAACCCTTGCTCAACGGACAGCAGCTCTCCCGAGTCAGACCGGTTTGAAGGGCCTGCCTCGAGTTTGACCTCATCGCCTTCTTCCGCCGGAACGAAACGAGACTATGGGGAATTTGACTCGTCGCCTCTACGCCCGGTTAGAAGTCGACCGTCTGCGCGGGGGATTGTAATCGCCAACTCAGAAGAGAGAAGCTGTGGAGCCAGGTCGTCTAGCCCTGATATCGATATCAGATCTCCTTCTTTAGAACCAGTGCCCCATGAGCGTCGCATTCTACGCGATGTCTCCAATCAGAATACCATCCCACGAGCGACTCCCAAGAGCTTAAAGCGTCCATCCGCAGTCGAAGTGGTCATATTCAACAAGAAACAGGCACGCACGAGCGACCAAACCTCGCAATTTTCATCAGAGCCTCATCAGAAACAGGTCCATCGTGCAGTGGAGCGACGAAGGTCCGGGCCACCTCGAATTTCGAATATTCCAGCTGCCGCTCAACGAAGGTCTATCATTCCCTGTTCGGAAGATGACAGTGACGACGAGCTAAGCTTCATCTAGCAGTCTTCTGGGCCTTCTAGACTGGCAACAACGATGTGGTCTCCGCCCCGCCGGGCTGGCAGATCATTCATTTGCAGATATTCAAGATTCCCTGTTCTCATGTCTATCTCATTCTTGAATTGCGAACGGGCTCAAAGGACATTGAGAAGTTCTCGAAGGACGGATTACGGAATGCAAGCGAGCGTGAACTTGACAGGGGCGCAATTTTCCTCAGGGAAACGGTGGATAATGGACGATCCACATTTTTTGGAACTTTTTTATGACATGATACCCTTGGCTTGGATTGGTGTTTTTTCTGTTTATTCTCTCTTTAGTTTGGTTGTCCATTGGTGGGTGTGGCTCAGTCCAAATCTTCTCATCTGGAGATTTGGATCTAGAAGCTCTAGTTGATCTAAAGTTTTAAGTAGACCATGAGCTTCTATGAAAGGTATAGCAATCGTGATCGTTAAAAGCCGCCTGGGTGGCATGATTCACGATGTCAAATTCTTACTACTTCTTTTCGGTTAGACGACCACTAGCTGTGTCGGTGTGGATCGAGCCTGATGGATACTGAGGAGCAGCTTCAACGCCTGCTCCGGAAGAATAGAGATTTTTGGGATTGTCCAGACAGAGATTGATGGCTGTACTAGGCCAAGATTGGTGTGATTTAATGGAGATTGAAGTTGAAGGTAGATCTGGAGCTCTGTATTGGAAAGAAAGGCTCTCGCGAAGATGGTCTGAGTCTTTGACATGCGTGTCATGGTACTATGCGCTCATGTCTATGCAGCTAGGCCTCCATACAGTTTCACCATCGAGTAATCAGATGATCAAAACAGGCTGATGGGGGGGGGGGTCTCGTCTCCAACACCAGTCCTCGCTACGAGCTCAGCGAAATGAAGGAACTGGAGAACGTAGGTCATATTCTCTATTCGTCGAGCTAGCAGTCTCCATGACCATGACATTCTTGTCTGTCCCATCTTTGCATCGCGAACGGGCCCCGCTCAGAATGGAGCAGTTCATAGAGGGCGGGTCAACCGAGCTCCGATTGACCTCGACCGACCTTGTGTGTGGTTAGTGTCGTCGGCACGCCTTGTTTTCATCTACTTTTGACGACCCGTTCATTGCTAGCGCCATGGTTCAGGTTGGATCCCTCATCTGCCTGGAAATTTGGATCTGCGGACCCTGTTTGGATCTCAAGTCATGAGTGACACCTGTCAATCGAGAAAATGGCACCTGAAACCAGAACAGTCTCTGCACGGGTTGAGTCGAGTCCAGGCCTCACTTTATCTGTCGCATGCAGGATCACCACGAATCCGCATGAGGAGCAAAACCCGGGGCTAACACTGGATTTAGCTCAAGTAATCTATGCTATCGTGTAGGTTCTATATGAAGAATCTCTGCATTTAAAGCCAGGTTTCAGCCGCCTATCAAGAGGGGATAGGGGAATTTGTCCGGGCCGAAAGCTATTCTCGGATGGAATTACTCCTCAGGGGAGATGAGGGTCTGATATTAATGAAGCCAAGACACGCCGGAGCCATGCGGAGATCAGGAAATAGAGTGAAGGTGTGGTTCGTGGACGATAGCGTTGACCCGAGCGTTTCAGTTGGAGGTAATTTTTCCACTTGGGTTTGAGTGTCGCGTGGGCGCTAACCCACACACTGTGACCATCTTCCGCAGCCCCGTCCCCCTTCATCCACACGACCATATTGGCCACCAATGAAGCAAGGACCCTTCCTCAAACGGAGGTGGTGAGGAGGATTGGCGAGTGACTGGTCTTCTGGTTGCTTCAAACCCAGCGCCAGCGTTTCAGCATGGACCAGTCACACTAGCGCATCTCGTCCACAGGCGCCAAGCCTCCTCACGTCCAACACTTGACGGGAAAAATATTTGGGCCTGCGCCTGCGCCTGTGCTTGGATCCATCTCCAGATACCCGATTCGATCTATGGATCGGCTCCTAGTCCAAGCTAACCTGGCTCAAAGGGCTGGCTTTCTCTTATCCCCCTTGGCCAGTAACAGGGTGAACATTCGGATCGCACTCGTAGATTGACGGGCTCGGCGCCAATAACATAGAGATTGATCGGCTACATGACGAAATGATGGCCGATTCCTGCGAGTAGTATGATCGCATGGGCCCGTCGGCCCAGCCTGGCTTGTACATTATTCCGCGATGGCGGTGGACTTGGCCTGTCTCATATTCTCCCCACCCGTCCTAGACGCAGGGACAAAAAGTGCTTTCTTCTCCTTTCTCCCCTTGACGGGTCCCTCTGACAATAGCCATTGTCCTTCTTTTCTGTTCCACTTGTTTTTGTTTTTTTGTTCCTTCTGACCATCGTTAACGGTGGAACTAGCTTCTATCTGATTGCCCTGCAGTGACTGGTTCACCAGCATTCCTTTCGTTGCCCTCCGACATAAACCAGGTCTCTGGGACATATTTCAGCCGATCTGTCATTCCGGTGGCGCGAGGCTGTGCGATCTGAGGAGACCTTCATCCATTGATGTTTTCTTCGTTTTCCTCACTACCTATACGTTCAGCAAACTAGGCAGGCCCTTCGACACCACCTACCGTATCTCAGGACCAACTGGGTTTCGGGCCTTCACTGCAATTCTTGCTCGTTTTCGCCATTCAAAGCAGCCCGGTGTTGCTCTCTGGCAGTCGCCTATCTTTCACTTCACCTGAAGACTTCCAGCACTTTCTAGGCCTTGATATCAAGCCTCCCCTTCTTTACCACTTAACCCCAAGGCAAGCTGGTCTTGCACAATATCAAAATTTGGACCCCATATAGATCTCAAAAGTATCATCCTCTTGACACAACATGCAACATCTCATTCTTGCTCTATCCCTCGCGGGACTGAGCAGCGCCATTGAACTTGAAAAGCGGCATAGCAGCAGCGCCAGTGAAATGTTCTATGAAGCAGTCAACGATGACCTGGCTCGTTATACGATTCTCGCCCTCGGCTGTGCTGCTGCCGCATATCTCATATGGAATATCTGGTTCCGATTCACGGCTCATCTTCGACGTCTATCCACTTTCGGCGATGACAGACAGCGGTACTTCGTGCCCGCGCACAGCACATTCGCCTGGGTCAAGGAGCACTTGATCTATGCTCCCCTTTTCCGTACACGCCACAACCGTGAGATGCAATTATCCTCAGCCATCAATATGGGCACCTTGCCCAGCCGTTTCCATGGTATTCTTGTATTCGGTGTTGTTGCCATGAATGTTATCCTCTGTGTGGTTACCACTCCTTTCGGCTCGTCGGAGGACACTGTCGCAGGCATTGTTCGCAACCGAACTGGCACAATGGCCACCATCAACCTGATTCCTCTGGTTATCATGGCTGGTCGGAACAATCCTCTCATCGCCATGCTCCATGTGCCCTATGACACCTGGAACCTGCTCCACCGCTGGCTCGGCCGCATTGTAGTGGCGCAAGGCCTTGCACACACTTTCGCCTGGGCCATCCCCAAGGGCCAAGAAAGCGGTTGGAACATCGTTGGCATGGCGATCAGCAGCAGCAGCTTCCTGCTCGCTGGCTTGGTGGCCACCGCTGCCCTCGTTGGATTGCTGCTTCACTCACCTTCGCCCATCCGCCATGCTTTCTACGAGGTCTTCATCCACTTGCACTTCGCCATGGCAGCTGTTTTTATGGGCTTCCTATGGGTGCATCTGAATGGCATGGCCGCCCAGACTTATTTGCTCGCCGCTATCATCCTCTGGGCCCTGGAGCGATCCACTCGTCTCTTCATCATCATTTACCGTAACTTGGGCAGTGGGTCCACCACCGCAACCGTCGAGGCCATGCCGGGCGATGCTATGCGTATCACTCTGCGCATGGCTCGCCCATGGACTTTCCGCCCCGGTCAGCATATCTACCTTTATATCCCCGCTGTCGGATGGTGGACCTCGCATCCATTCTCCGTCGGCTGGAGCGAAGGCGACAACCTCGTTACCGATGAGAAGTCTCCTCTTCCCATGTCGAAGCAGGACCTGCTCGGTGTTCCCCAAAAGGAGACAATTTCCCTGCTCGTTCGTCGCCGCACTGGTTTCACCGATAAGCTCTTCCAGCGCGCCTCCAGTGCCATCGGCTCTCGTGTCACTCTTCGTGCCTTTGCTGAAGGTCCCTACGGCAACATACATTCCATGGATTCATACGGCACGGTGATGCTCTTTGCCGGTGGTGTCGGAATCACACATCATGTCCCCTTCGTTCGCCATCTCGTCGCTGGCTTCGCCGACGGCACAGTAGCCACACGCCGGGTCACACTGGTCTGGATCATCCAATCTCCCGAGCACTTGGAGTGGATCCGGCCCTGGATGACCAGTATCTTGGCCATGGATCGCCGCCGTGAAGTCCTCCGCATCATGCTCTTCGTCACACGTCCACGCAATACCAAGGAAATCCAAAGCCCCTCCGCTACAGTTCAGATGTTCCCGGGTCGACCAAACATCGACACTCTCGTCGGCATGGAAGTCGAGAACCAGGTCGGAACAATGGGTGTCCTAGTTTGCGGCAACGGAGGCCTCAGTGACGACGTGCGCAAGGTCTGTCGAAAGAGGCAAGGCCACACGAATATCGACTACGTCGAAGAGAGTTTCTCTTGGTAAATCTGCCCATGCGATGATATCTGTGGAGTTGCTTGAGCGTCTTTACATCGTGACGTGTCTTCGTCGCTTTCCTTTCTCGGGCTTCTGCAGCTTCTTTGTCTCTCTGTCTTTCTTTTGTTCGCTCTGTAGCTTTCGCCTTTGAGCTTGCTTCGCTTCTTCCTGCCTTGGCCTGGCCCTTTTTATTTTGTATAGTTTCCTGTTGACAGCGACCTGTCATGTTCTGGGCGTGTGCTCTGTCTTTGAAGAGTTGTACATATATTTTGCCTCAATGCAAGATATCCGGTGCCTTTGAGTTCGTTCCCGAGCTTGTAAATGATTGATGAGATTTCAAATGGCGGTCAGTCTCAAGGTACTTGTCGATTCAGTTCATCGGCCATGCACGGCAGTGGAGAGACGATCTAGCACCTATCGACTGGAGAAATTTCGATTGCAAGTTGTGTGCAGGCTGTGCGAGATGAATAGGATAATACCAGAGCCTGATTCCGAGGAAGTAGTGCATACTAATGCAGAATCCCAACCCGCGCGGCCAAGCTCGGTCGTGAGCATGATCACCGCCAGCTGTTGCCAGGTGCATGTGTGGCATCACCTGGTTACGCCCCTCTTATGAGCTCAAACTACTTGTCATTTGAGCCGTGCTGCCATCCCCATTCCCCAATTAATTCAGTCTCAACACCCAAAGCCAACAGCGAGCTTTCAATCATCCAACAACCACCATGTCCCTCAAAAACCCCACCGCAATCCTTATTATCCACGGAGGCTATTTTCTCCCCACAGCCTGGGACACATTCAGTGCCCGGCTCACACAATCGGGTCTCACAGTCCGCTGTCCACGTCTCCCAAGCTGCGGCGACAAACGACCCCCAACGGCCACACTGAAAGAAGATGTCACCGCCGCCCGCAAAGCAGCGAAAGACCTCATCGACACTGGACACATCGTAATCGTCCTAGCCCATGGCTACGGCGGAATTGTTGCCTCGGATGCCCTCACACCAGACCTCTACGCCAACGAAACCAGTAACGGCATCGTCTACCTCATCCTGCTAAGCGCCTGGCTCGTCCAACGCGGCTCCTCCATTGAACAAGTGGTATCGAAGAACGGACTTGAATTTAAAGGAGATATCTTCGTGAAAGAGGACGGAGTAGTGTTTTGCAAGAATGCTGCTGAGACGTTCTACAATGATATCGACTCCGCAACTGCGGCGGAGCTGGCAAAGGGCAATGTTACGCAAAATTGGGCTGCTGCGACAGGGAGCGTGAGCGAGGCGCCATGGAGGGATTTGCCGACTACTTATGTCTATTGTACTAAGGATCTGGCTATTATGTTGCCTCTTCAGAAGATGATGGTTGAAGATGCTGTAGCCTCTGCTGACGGTGCGGTGGAATTCGTGACGGAGGATCTTGATTCGGGACATTGTCCGTTTCTGAGTATGCCGGATGAGTTGGCTAATATTGTGAAGCGGGTGCTTATTAAAGTGGATTAGGACTTGACGGGGATCATTAGAGTGGGAATTAGGTCAAGTCAATGTTTTCTCTGGAGGGGCACGGACTCCATGGCTTTAAATCCGTGACCTTCGGACGATCGGCCTTAGATTGCGGAGTCCGGTCCATCGGGATCAACCTTGCTATGACCAGATCCACTGCAAGGTTGTTTTCGGGCTAGCAATTATATCCACAGATGTAGTTCTTACTTTTCCGTGTTTGACATCGGATTATCGCTGTTATTCCCTTTCCACTCAGAAATATCCATCCTAAGTCCGGCAGGGTCGTCAAGATTCCCTCCGTAGCATAAGCCTCGAACAGTACTTAAAGTCGCGTCTTCCTATTGAATGCTCTCAAGCAATATTCCAGCAAATAGAAGATACCCAATAAGCAACACAACTACACATCTCTCAACCATAATGTCTCTCTCAGGAAAGGTCGTCCTCATCACCGGCTCCTCTCGAGGAATCGGCAAAGCCACAGCTCTTCGTCTTGCCAGCGAAGGGGCAAGTATTGTGATCAACTACATCTCGAACGAAGCCTCGGCCAATAGCCTCGTCGAACAAATCGGGTCTGATCGAGCTCTGGCTGTTCAAGCCGATGCTTCCAACCTATCCGATCTTGATCGCCTCGTTGAGACAACGGTCGCGAAGTTTGGCAAAATCGATATCCTCATCCCTAATGCGGGGATTCTTCCGATGGCCGATTTGGAACATACTACCGAGGCGAATTTCGATAAGACTTATGATCTCATGGTGAAGGGGCCATACTTCCTGGCTCAGGTGCGTACCGAACAACGCCCTACGCGGAGAATGATCAGAATGACTGACCATCTTGCAGAAAGCCGCAAAACACATCCCATCTGGCGGTCGAATCATCTTCATCTCCACTGGAGTCACTGTCGTCTCCAACATCGCACCCACTTATCTTCTCTACGCGTCCGCCAAGGGTGCCGTTGAGCAGATGGCCCGTGTTATGGCTAAGGACCTGGCACGCAAGGGTATTCTGGTGAATGCCGTCGCTCCTGGGCCAACAACCACAGAGCTGTTCCTAGAGGGAAAGTCAGAACAGGTCCTCGGGGCAGTTGCTAATTTGAGTCCGTTTGGTCGAGTTGGGGAACCAGAGGACATCGCTAGTGTAATGGCATTCATGTGTGGGAAAGATAGCAGTTGGATGTCTGGTCAGATTTTGCGGGTGAATGGTGCAATGGCATGATCAATCCGTGGATAGCTTGTTCAGTGTAAATAATAGAAGCATGTCAGCAATCCCTGTTCCTGGTGATCTCGGCGTGTAACCCTTCCGAAGCTGCCTTAGGAAAACACATTTGTCAGCTCGCATTCCCCAGCGCCGTGCTGCTCTAGTTGGTCAAATTGAATTCGGGCTCGTATCGTTTCGATCAATATGGAAATAGTGTAGAGAATGCTTATTCAAGCTTCGGGGAGATTAGAAATCGAAAGCCGAGTGGGGTAACTTGCGATGACCTCAATCCCGCTACTTTAAAAGACCCCACATGCCCACTGACAGCTCTTTTCGCAGTTTATTCCTACATCAACCTGACAAGCACATCAACTATTCAAAATGAGTTCTCCCGACATCACTCTCTACACGGCCCAGACGCCCAATGGAATCAAGATTTCAATGGCGCTGGAGGAGCTTGGGTATGCAAGCTACCCGCCGTTTTTGGTCCGCCACTAACCGCTCGATAGACTTCCCTACAAGGTCGAGAAAATCGAGATCTCTAAGAACACCCAGAAGGAACCGTACGTGTCTATATTATCATCGGACCAACCCCCGATACTAACCATTCCGTAGCTGGTTCCTGGAGATCAACCCCAACGGCCGCATCCCCGCCTTGACCGACACTTTCAGCGACGGCCAAAAGATCCGCCTTTTCGAGTCCGGCAGTATCCTGCAATACCTGGCCGAACAATATGACACTGAGCACAAGATCTCTTTCCCCCAGGGCAGCCGCGAATCCTACGAGATGAACAACTGGCTCTTCTTCCAAAACGCCGGCGTCGGTCCCATGCAAGGCCAAGCTAACCATTTCTCGCGTTATGCCCCCGAGCACATCGAGTACGGTGTGAACCGATACACCAACGAGACCCGTCGCCTGTACGGTGTCTTGGACAAGCACCTAGCTCAGTCCAAGTCCGGTTACATTGTCGGCGACCATGTTTCCATTGCCGATATCTCTCACTGGGGCTGGGTGGCTGCTGCTGGATGGGCTGGTATTGACATTGAGGAGTTCCCGCACGTCAAGGCTTGGGAGGAGCGCATGGCTCAGCGCGAGGGTACTGAGAAGGGTCGTCATGTTCCTTCGAAGCACACGATTAAGGATCTGATTAAGGACAAGGCTGCTATGGATAAGCATGCTGCTGAATCGCGGTCGTGGATTCAGCAGGGTATGAAGGAGGATGCGAAGAACAAGATCTAAGGAAGAGATGAAGATATAGTACCTTAATTCAATACTCCTTGACGATTAGATAGAAAATCGACTCATCGGGCACAAGCTCCACCCTACAGCTCGCATTATGTAAAAGCTCGCACCATCTTTCTAGTACAGATAAAATCATAGACGTAGACATAAGACCTCGTCGTTTCCAAGTTTCTGCTTGACAACTCGATGATAGTCATGATGATCATGTTTTCAATTGGCTTGTGATGGGCTCCAAAGGCTGGTCTCGCGTGATTGTCTTCAAACTGGCTGGGTGCACCTTGGCAGGTCAACGAATTCATCATCACCATCATCATCCAAAGGTCGAGCAGAATAGACCATAGTAGAGACTACTGTTGAAGGAACATGGTGTTGGTATAGTGACCTAAGGGCGGTTCGAGGCCAGGGTAAGGGCGGTTGCGCTTCCAAGTTATCTTGAAAATACGAATTCAATCATCTTAGGATACTCGGAGCGAGATGTTGTTGACAGCCATTGTGGGAGAAAATGATAAATAGGCAAGAGAGAGATAAGCTTCGAATAAATCACGTGTCCACGATAAGATAGCTACCAAAGCACGTAATCAGGTAGTAGCTGTAGTTAGTTGGAGCCATTAACAAGTGCGTACGTATTCACCGCTCGGCAAAATAGCCATACCGCCTTGTTTCAGTCACGTGGTGCGTGGCCACTTTTCACTGAACGGGAGCTTCTTCTTTGAAGACCCGTCACACCACTAACGACCTTTTGAAATTTAAGAGTCATGGCTTGGCGCAATCAAGGCATCACAGGCTCTAACAACATCCCTTTGGGAAGCCGCCGCCGCCCTGGGTTCGGGGAAGAGGAGGAGGAGGATAGTCGCACCGCGACTCCTTCCTCTGTGCCCGATGGCCCTAAGCGTGGCCGCAGCCCCGTTCGAGGTATGTCTCTCCCTACAAGTACTTCACAAGTGTTTGTTTCTCACCTTTCTTCTTTTGAAATAGCGGAGCCCGCGGCCGATGGCGTGAAGAGGCGCAAGAAGCGCAACCGTTGGGGAGACCAGCAAGAGAACAAGGCCGCCGGTCTGATGGGCTTGCCCACGATGATCATGGCCAACTTCACCAGCGAACAACTTGAGGCTTACACCCTGCACCTGCGCATCGAGGAGATCAGCCAGAAGCTTCGGATCAACGATGTGGTCCCGGGTGATGGTGACAGGTATGTACAATCTATTTGACATGCGCCCCCAGCAAGACGTCCGATACTAACTCTCATGTAGATCTCCTTCGCCCCCGCCGCAGTACGACAACTTTGGTAGGCGTGTGAACACTCGCGAGTACCGCTACCGCAAGCGTCTCGAGGATGAGCGTCACAAGCTGGTCGAGAAGGCCATGAAGACCATCCCTAACTACCACCCGCCCTCAGACTACAGACGTCCCACCAAGACCCAGGAGAAGGTCTACGTCCCAGTCAATGACTATCCAGAGATTAACTTCAGTATGATAACTAACCCTCTAACTCCTAACTATCCCTTCACTATGTCTTTAAAAGGCACCCTGCTCGACTCGAGTCGACGAGATTTCCTCGGATGTCCTCGACCCGTTTCTTGCTAACCTTTGGGTGCTTGATGTTGCACACTGCTCTGCGCGCTTTAAAATTACCGGATGAACTAACACATAGCTATTTGCTATCTTTTTTAAAGTTGGCTTACTCATAGGACCTCGTGGAAACACCCTGAAGAAAATGGAGACCGAGTCCGGTGCCAAGATCGCCATTCGCGGCAAAGGATCCGTTAAGGAAGGCAAGGGCCGTTCTGACGCCGCTCACGGTAGCAACCAGGAGGAAGACCTTCACTGCTTGATCATGGCCGATACCGAAGAGAAGGTGAACAAGGCCAAGAAACTGGTTCACAATGTCATTGAGACGGTAAGCCATACCGACCTTTTCTGTCTCCACGGTTTTTATACTAACATAGAGTCCCAGGCCGCTTCTATTCCCGAAGGCCAGAACGAGCTCAAGCGCAACCAGCTTCGTGAGCTGGCTGCTCTCAACGGTACTCTCCGTGATGATGAGAACCAGGCTTGTCAGAACTGTAAGTCTATAATTGCCTCTTATTATCGTGTCCCGTCATTTCTGATTTTCCCCCAGGTGGTCAAATCGGTCATCGCAAGTACGACTGTCCCGAGCAGCGCAACTTCACTGCCAACATTATCTGTCGCGTCTGTGGCAATGCTGGACACATGGCCCGCGATTGTCCCGACCGCCAGAGAGGCAGCGACTGGCGCAACAACGCCGGTGCTGGCGCTCCTGGTGGCCGTGGCGCTCCTCGTGCTATCGGCACTGGCGATGCTGTTGACCGTGAGATGGAGGTGAGTTTCCTTTTCAACGATATCTCACCAATCATACCTTGATTTCTAACTCCCATTCTAGCAACTCATGAACGAATTGTCTGGTGGTGCTCCCGCCGACTATCCGGCTCGTCGTATTGAAGCTGGCCCTGAGCAGGGTGGCTACCCTGACGAGAGTGATGCGAAGCCCTGGCAGCGCGGTCCTCCCGGACCTCCCGCCAGCGACGTTGCTCCTTGGCAACAGCGAGGCCGTGAAAACCATCGCGACGACTACGGATCCCGCGGTGGAGGCGGCGGTGGAGGCGGCGGAGGTGACTACGGCGCTCCTCCCCCTTGGGCTGCTGCTCAGCAGAGTCGGGGTGGCGATTACGGCGGCTATGGAGCTCAGGCCGGATATGCTGCGCCTGGTACCGCTCCCGGTGCTCCACCCGGTGCTGCTCCTTGGCAGCAACCGGCACCTCCTGGTGGCCAAGCTGCGTACGGGTATGGAGGATACGGAGGCTACACTTACCCTCCTGGCATGGCTGCTCCCCCTCCTCCCGGCATGCCTCAGATGGCTTATGGCGGTGCTGGTAGCCCTCCTCCCCCGCCTCCTCCTGGCGACCAGCCTCCTCCCCCTCCCCCTGGCAATCAACCCCCCCCTCCCCCCTCCCAGCGATCAGCCTCCCCCTCCCCCACCTCCGGCGTGAGCATTCTCAATTCTGCAAATGGGTTTCTAGTCGAGAAAAGTTGTGGAGCGCGGTCTCGTTTCGCTCCGATGCCAGGGAACAGCTTCCTAGGTTTCTTTCTATCTCTGTCACGTAATACTCTCAATCAATAGGCACGTCTTGTATTTTGAAAAAGCATTACCATGAATCCGTAGTCAATATAGACACGCCGGCTTATGTTGGGAGGTTTCGTAGCCTTGACGTGAGAATTCCGATGATGCCTGAGGCCCCACATGCTAGTCTTGGCTCACAGCTCTCCAACTTTTGCCTCTCCTCGAATAGATTACCTGCCAACGCCTATTATATTCTCAATTTATTAGCACTCTCCACAAACCCCTGTTTGGGGATCATCCTGTTGAATCGTCAGCCTAATTGAAACTCACACATGCAGGGATCGTCGCACGGGGATTTCTCCCTCCCCTCGGGTCCCAATATACACGCTTCCGCTTCATCTTCTCAGCGGAAACCCTCTTGGCAGTCTCAGCGCATATCGTCTGTCCGCTCGGGCAGGACTCATGCTTCGCAGCTGTCAAACTCATCCACGAACCAACAGGCACCTGTGCAGGAGGATTTGCGTCGCACTTCGACGGCGACTACTGCTCAGTCCTCGCAGCCAAAATGGTGGCGCGTTCGTTTATTCCGTGGAATGATTAATGATGTCAAGCGAAGAGCTCCCTATTACTGGAGTGATTGGACTGACGCGTGGGATTATCGCATTGTGCCGGCGACTGTTTACATGTATTTTGCTAAGTATGTTTCTCCACTGGCTTCCTTTACAGACTCTTTCATGTGCTCCTTCCGATCTGATATCTCGCTTTTGTGTAATTTTGTCATTCACCAATATCGTTGTACAGCAGAGTGCTTACAGTTGTTGCAGTATCTTGCCTGCCCTTGCCTTCTCTCTGGACATGTTTGAAAAGACAAATCAGAGTTTCGGTGTCAATGAGGTCTTGCTTGCCTCTGTTCTAGGAGCAGTCGTATTTTCTCTCCTCGCTGCTCAACCTTTGGTCATCGTGGGTGTTACCGGTGAGTCTTGCCTCTGTCATAAAAACTTACTCCAGCTAAGATCGATTCAGGTCCTATTACCGTGTTTAATTACACTGTCTATGATATTATAACCCCTCGAGGTACTCCATACCTTCCATTCATGTGCTGGATTGGCATGTAAGTTGCGCCCTCTTGACTCGCCAATGGCATGCTAACATGAACATCAGTTGGTCATTGATTATGCATTGGATTCTGGCAATCGCAAATGCCTGCAATGGACTCAAATACGTGACTCGCTTCTCGTGTGATATCTTCGGGTTCTACGTTGCCTGTATCTACCTCCAGAAGGGCATTCAGGTCTTGACCCGTCAGTGGGGCTCCGTCGGCGAGACCTCCGCCTACCTCGCGATTATGGTAGCGCTTCTTGTCTTGATGGCAGCCTGGATCTGCGGAGAACTGGGTAACAGCAACCTCTTTAGTAGATACGTCCGGAAATTCCTCGAAGACTATGGCACACCGCTGGTCATCATATTCTTCACTGGCTTCGTCCACATCGGTCATATGAAAGATGTCGATGTCGCCGTGCTTCCTACCAGCAAAGCATTCTTTCCCACACTGGATAGGTCGTGGCTGGTACGTTTCTGGGACCTCGATGTTGGGGACATATTCTTAGCCATTCCCTTTGCCTTTCTCCTGACTATCCTGTTCTACTTCGATCATAACGGTTGGTGACCCCGAACTGATATCGCCATTTCGATGTTTTTGTACTAACCCTCCCCAACAGTATCTTCTCTCATTGCACAGGGGACTGAGTTCCCTCTCCGCAAACCGGCCGGTTTTCATTGGGACATTTGGCTCCTTGGTCTCACCACCTTCATTGCCGGTCTGCTTGGAATTCCCTTCCCTAATGGTCTCATTCCGCAGGCGCCTTTTCACACTGCTGCCCTTTGCGTCACCCGCCAAGTAGCAGATGAGGACGAGTCCAACAAGGGCAAGGCCGTTCGCCTCACAGACCACGTAGTGGAACAGCGAGTCAGCAACCTCGCGCAGGGCCTTTTGACCCTCGGTACAATGACCGGCCCACTTCTTATCGTCCTCCACCTGATCCCACAAGGCGTCATGGCCGGTCTGTTCTTCATCATGGGTGTCCAAGCCCTTCAGGGTAATGGGATCACTCAAAAGCTGATTTTCCTTGCCCAAGACAAGAGCTTCACGCCCGCCTCAAACCCTCTTAAGCGACTTAATCGCCGCGCCGCTATCTGGGTATTTGCCATCATCGAGCTCATTGGTTTCGGTGCGACTTTTGCCATCACCCAAACTATCGCTGCCATTGGTTTCCCTGTTATTATTCTTCTTTTGATTCCCGTGCGTTCTTTCCTCTTCCCTCTGTGGTTTACTCGCGAGGAACTGGCTGCTCTGGACGCTCCAACGGCTAGTCCCTTCACCATGGAGAGTGTTGGTGGTACGCATGGGCTAGATGAAGAGACAGAAGAGGCGACAAGTAGCGGAGCAAACGGATCTTCAAATGAAGGCGATGGAGTCTTGAGGGGCCGCCCGTCTTCTTCCTCGGAACCTGTAATTGAGAATAATGACCTTGAGAGCGGCGAGGCATATGAGATGACGACTCGGTCGTCTATGAGGAGGAGGAGCACAACCAGCCGGATCGATTGAATTGCGGCCCACAAATTCCATGGTCAACGCGGACTATAACATTCACGATATTTATATTCAGCTTGATCCTGAAAATAATAAACAAAGTCTACTTCATAAATCAGACTTCGACCTACTGACAGCTTAATTCAATACAATGCCTCTTTCTTTAACATCCAGACGCACAGCTGGACCAAAAGGCTCATTCAAATGAGCCAGAAGAGGCGGCAATCATTTATCTTTTCGATCCTATTGAAAATCGTTTATTAGAAAATATTGGAAAAGGATCAAAAATATGTCTACTTAGGATCTATGTCTATAATAAGTATTCTTTTTTATACGCGTATATAAATATGACAACCAGATAAATACCCGAAAGGGAATTATGTAGTATCAGTAGAATAATATCGTTACGTCCATCTACACTATATCCTTAGCCGGCCTGTATAATCATTTCCGCTCGCTTTCTTTCCTCTCATTCACCCAGTGTATGGTCTGAACACAGTCACGTGATAGTCCGAGAATGTATTCATGCCTAGAATTCCGGGCATCTAGGACTCACCGCCAGATTAAGATAACTTTTTCTGCCGCAAAATTATTTCCCAAAGACAAAGCAGCAAGCAAGAATGGCGTCCTCGAAAGAAGATCTGCAGTCTGAGGACTCATATTCGTCTGATCACTCTGAGGAGAGTCAGCATAATGCCCAAGAACGTGCACCCAAGCGCCGTCGTCTCTCCGAATCGGAATCAGATGACGAGTATGTTGCGCCTGCGCCGCTCCCCACCCTCTCCCGTATCAAGAAGAAGGATGATACCGTGAAGCCCAGTGCGACAGATGAGGAGGAGCCTGTCACGATTGCGGACGCTCTTGAAATTGGATTGCGCAGTGAAGAGTCCACTTTCGGTGCTTTGAAAGTTGCTCCATGGCTTGTTGGTTCTTTGACGACTATGGCCATTCGCCGGCCAACGGCGATTCAGAAGGCGTGTATTCCTGAGATTTTGAAGGGTCGGGATTGTATCGGTGGAAGTCGCACTGGTTCAGGAAAGACCATGGCTTTCGCGGTCCCTATCTTGCAGAAGTGGGCGGCCGATCCGTTTGGAATCTTCGCTGTAGTATTGACGCCAACCAGGTATGGCCAGTCCAAGGACAATCCCACTTATCCTCGTCAACCGATATACTAATCCTACCCTCTTTTCACAGAGAACTTGCGCTGCAGATCTACGAACAATTCAAGGCCGTCGGATCCGCTCAGAGCATGAAGCCCATTCTCATTACTGGAGGCACCGACATGCGACCCCAGGCAATCGCTCTCGCACAACGTCCTCACGTTGTCATCGCAACCCCCGGGCGACTTGCAGATCACATTAAGACTTCAGGAGAGGATACGATTGCTGGTTTGCGCCGTGTAAAGATGGTCGTACTCGATGAAGCAGACCGACTGCTGGCAAGTGGCCAAGGCAGCATGCTGCCAGATGTGGAGACCTGTCTCTCTTGTCTGCCTCCCTCCTCAGAGCGTCAAACGCTCTTATTCACTGCCACTTTGACCGCAGAAGTTCGCGCATTGAAGTCGATGCCTCGCCCTGAGGGCAAGCCCCCGATCTTCGTGACCGAGGTCTCAACCGAGAACCAAGGCAACATCCCGCCTACTCTTAAGCAGACTTACTTGAAGGTCCCCATGACACATCGCGAAGCCTTCCTGCATGTGCTCCTGTCCACCGAGGAAAACGTCTCCAAGCCCGCCATCATCTTCTGCAACCACACCAAGACTGCCGATCTGCTCGAGCGCCTTTTGCGCCGTCTTGGTCACCGTGCAACCTCCCTCCACAGTATCCTCCCCCAGTCCGAGCGTACCTCCAACCTCGCCCGGTTCCGCGCAGCCGCTGCCCGTGTGCTGGTCGCGACCGATGTCGCATCGCGTGGTTTGGATATTCCGTCCGTCAGTCTAGTCATCAACTTCGATGTGCCCCGCAACCCAGACGACTACGTGCACCGTGTTGGTCGTACGGCTCGTGCTGGCCGGTCCGGTGAGGCCGTCACGCTTGTTGGACAGCGTGATGTTGAGCTCGTACTCGCCATCGAGCAGCGTGTTGGTCGTGCGATGGAAGAGTGGGCTGAGGAAGGTGTCAGCATTGAGGGTCGTGTTACTCGCACTGGGATTCTCAAAGAGGTTGGCTCCGCGAAGCGCGAGGCTACTGGTGAAATTGAGGAGGGTCGTGATGTTCTGGGTCGCAAGCGGAATAAGCTCAAGAAGGTCAGGTAAATTAAACGACGGTCTGTATATCCACACTGATATGTACTTGATACCATATTTAGAATCAATGATTACTTTAGCGATGCACATTCAGGCTCTTTAATTGTACAATCCACCAAACTACAACCCAAGCTATAAGGAGCCCGAGCATGAAGGAAGAGGTTGGGATTTGAAGGATTCGCAGGCTTTGAAGGTATTTCGAGCTCGTGAATGGCGCATCGTATT